TTATCGACTAATATTATGTCACATCACTAATTTGCACAATTGGAATAATACAAGTAAGAAAAAAATTAGGCTTAATGTAATTAATACAAAAATTGTATTGTTCTTTTATTATTTGTTTTTCTTTTTTTTACATTTTCCCTCGCTTAATTATATTACTCCACAGACATATGATAGAGTTTATCATTAAGTTTTCTTAGTTTTTTTACTGCGTTTTTATAAGATATTTCAATAAATTATATAGGGCAAAGCGTTATTTTTCACTATTCACTTGGTTACAGCAAAAACTAATCTTAATAATTAGCACATAAAATGATGTGAATTTTTTAACATGTGCACAATCTTAAAATAATTTTTCCATTCTGGTATATACAAGCTGCACAGTCACGTGACAATTCAAAATTCATGTTAAAGTAAATTATTTATTATCACGTTGAATTATTTTTAGGATTTTGTTTATGTTATCGCGAACGTATCGCGTGGCGGTTTTTCATGTAGTGAACAAAATGATCATTTCATATAATCTGTATTTGTGTGCGGAGAGAAGACACTCGGTTCCCATACTAAATTAATATCATTGTACTTCTAATCTCTCTCTATGTTCTAGGCAGGCTATTAATATACGGTGAATTTATAAGCCACTTTACCTATAGGTGTATGTAGGGTTTCATTCAATAAAAAATAGTATTGTTTAGCAGATTTAATCAAGTATAATGATATAACACAAATTAAGTCTTTATACACATATATTGGACCACGTGAAATAGTATGATTTTATAAAAAAAAAACATAATAAAACACTTTCAACAAATCATCAATATCATATATAATAGCACATAATCAATCGCTGTAAATAATTGTTATTGCTTGCGACTTCGTATACTAGGCGTGGGCGTTGATTGAACAAACTGTTGTTTAGACTGTTTGTTGGGTTTAAACTGAACTGATAGACTAGTTTACGGTCTACTGATAAACTAGTTTCTGCGTGAACGTAATTTACCGACGCGTGCTGTCTGTTTCGCTCGCTCAATTACGATAGTAAAATTTTTAAAACTAAACGTAACGGTATAGTGTTGCTAGTACATTACTCTTTTGGGATAAATACACATTTGAAGTTTGTAATGAGAAAGTATTTAAAAAAAAACATTAGTTCCCGAAATCAAAATAGATATCGCTACGGTACGTTTTTGATTTCTCCATGACAACCCTCCCTCAATAAACAACTCATATTCTATTTGAAATTTTTCGTATTTATATTGATATCTAAGTTTCGAACTTTGCAAATTTCAGTTTTTTAATATGTTAGTTAAAAGGAAGATAAATGACTATCTTTAGTCCATCCGTTTCCTGCAAACATCAACTTTTGCTAGAGTCGCCATCTAGTGGAGGTGCTTTTATGGTGCTTTCTTTTTATTTTTAAATTCTTCCTCATTATACTAAGACAGAATATACCACAATTCAGACGGCCACAGAGTAAGCAATGTATTTGATTGCGATTGTGGTAGTATGTTTATTACGATTTCGAAAGTAGTGGCTACAATAGTTAATAACAAAATAAAATTATAAACAACGAAGCTATTTTGATCCTGTAGGTCATGTGATAGGTAAGTAATTTCGTGGTTATCTTTTAACAAATAACAACAATATAATGGACGTTTTGGCGGCAATTGAATGGCGCCACCCTAATAACTGAGTAGCCGCCCAATTGAGCGGCTGTTTTAACCACTTGGCTGCGACATATATGCGTCCAATACCTTTATAGGTACCTATTGTAATCAATTAATTATGCTACATAATTGTTTATTGATATAAATATAATATAAATATACAGGGAATATAACCGGTCATACAAACATCGTATACATTAACAAAACTAGTGGAATATGTGTCACTTGCAATAATAATTTCAATTAGTACGTACCTATTAAAATATGATACCTGATGATCCTTCAAATTCTTTTGGTCCAATACGTTTTAACTTGAATGCATTTTTTATCTATAATTACATAGTAGTATGCACATTTAATGTTGAAGTACTGACAACATTCTTAACATTTTATAAACTAATTCATAAAATATTTACAAAAATATCCTTTTTATTCTATTTATCTATGTACAATAAAATACTATTTTGGCAGGCGGTAATCCACTTTGGGAAGTGGATGATATTTACATACTATGGCAATATTTATAAGCTAAATAATTACAAAGACACTTATAGGTAAGTATTGAATTTTCGTGTAAAACTGTACTCTCGAACAGTTTTATAGGTAAAAATATTACATTTCTTGAACGCTTAACTTCCTTTTGATGGCAACTTATATTATGTAGCGTCGAACACAGCGCTTTTGTATGCACCATAGAGATCCAAACAAATAAAACCTTTATTTATCTTTTGAGGAAGGTTGTATTTGATTGAACCTATATTGGTTACCTGATAATAATGCCTATTAAATTATTAGGATTGTCAAATTTAAAAAATATATGTGCAAAGTAAAATAAGTATCATAAGTATCTATTCGTACATACAGTAAGTAACTGAATGTACCTACATAATATTATGCCCATATTTATACACTATACAACAATATAAGCTATCTATAGTATCTACCAACAGAAAAATCTTCTGTATTTATTATTAGCTATATAATATTGACAACTTGCTGTAGAAAAGTTTTAGAAGTGCATAACACAAAATATAAAAGCACTGGCAACATGTAAACTGTTTTATTTGTATTTGACGAAGCTACTTCCTTTTACAACTATGAGAATATTTGTAACGTAACTTAATTATTTTAGGTACGTATATCCTACCCGTGTAGAAATTTAAGCGTGTGTCTAATGAAGATTTAAATCACCAGCACGCGTTGCATGACAAACTCGAGAAACGCTTTGTCTACACTCATTTGTCACTTTCTCAGGTCGAGAGTGAGATATAGTATGGGCGCACCCGAGAAAAGTGACATTTGAGTGTAGACAAAACGTTCTCGAGTTCGTCATGCTACGCGTGCTGGTTGTATAAGATTACGAATCTAGCAAATTACAATATTTACAATAAAAATATTTACTTCATCAATCACAAAAATTATTATGCAATTCGGCTTTCATTCATCTATGGAATTACATCGGGATTTGGTGCATATTCCTACAATAAACCTGGTTCTGAAAAAGTTTTTGTATTATATCACCCATTTTTATTATAATTCAATCATAGTTTTGTAAAGCCTTCTTTAGATTTCTGACTCCTTTTGCAATGTGCGATTTTTTAGCAGAAACTTTTTTTGTTTTTGCTTTTCTTTTGATTTGTCTTTTCTGTTTTTCTTCTAGTTGAACTTTTATAGGTTTGCTGGATAAAATTTGAGAATGCTTCTTATTTTGTCGCTTAGAAGCTGTTGGTTTTAGAATGACAGGTACATTAACAATATCAGCAAGAGGCACAGAAGTGGATGGAGGTGTAGAATGGATAGTAACGCTCAAATCCTTGTCATTTTCATTAATAGAAGTGGAATCTTGCATTAATGTTTGGTTCTGATTGATACTGCTAATGGACATATTTAAATTTAGTTCAGCTTCAGTTACAGTTCTAGTGTTCATGGACTTACTCAAACTTTGTTCAGCTACAGGTAGATCATGTATAATATTTTCGAAGGTGTCTTTAAATGTGTCAGGATTGATAGGATAAATTCCAGCTGCTCTAAATCCACTAACAGCCTTGCTTATATTAGCTATTTTATTGTACGCTCTTGTAAATAGTTCTCCAACCTCGTATTGGGTTATTCGTTTACCTGGATTATTTACCATGTAGAGCTCACATTCTTTATTGTACGCTATTTTCAGAGGACTGAAAACTGTAAGATCTAGTGGCTGCATTTTATGAGACACATGAGGTGGTAACGAAAGAACTTGGAGATTGTGTTCTCGGAACAGCGCGTATGCTCCCAGGCTGATATGACTTTCGTGATTATCGAGTACAACTAAAACTGGATCATCTTTGGTCGGCTTTACAAAAGAAATGAAATGTCGCAAGAAGTCAATAAATATGGACTCATTTATCCAGCCAGAATCAGAAACAGTAGCTATCATGTCGCTGTTACAACCTTTAATTAGCAGTTCGCTCATTCTCTTTCTTTTGAAGATAAACATGGGAGGTACATATATGCCACTAGCGCTATTAGCACAAACTATTGTTGTTGTAACACCCCGTTCTCCACTTGTCGCTTTTGCTATCTGCTTTACGCCCTTAGGAGCCAAAATTTTGTAATTTTTTTGAACCATGCTAATGCCAGTTTCATCAATATTAAAAATGCGATGACTAGGTATATTGTGTTTAGCTTGAATCACTCTTAGTTGATCAAAAAACAGATTTACTTCAGTGGCGTTAAAAGCGGTTATTCTATTAAGTGAAGTAGCTTCACTTGATAGAATAACCGCTTTTAACGCCACTGAAGTAAATCTGTTGAACTAATGGAAGGATGACGAGACATAAAGCCATAATACCAGTCTTTACCTGCAATCTGGGTCTCCTTGTTAAAATTGTGTTTTAATTTGTTAGCTTCAGCAAATCGAAAAGCAATTCTGCGTAATGAATTTGGTGTTATACCATAAAAAGCCTTGCAGCATTCAAGTATATAATTAAGCAGCTCTTCTTCTTGTTCTTTGTTAAATACAGTGTGTCTCCCTTTTTTTGGTATCTTGAATTTGTCCAGCTTCAATTGTTTAAATAGTGTTGTTTTTGGTATTGAAAATTTGGTTGCAGCTTGGCTCAATGTAAGCTTTTTATTTTTGACATCTTCAATCGCATTGCGAAGATCTTCAATCTCATACTTCGTTGCAGTCTTTCGTATGTAGTTTCGAGGCATCTTAAACAAATCGTACCGTTAGAAGATAGTTTAAAACTACAATCTAGTAGCATAGGGGTAAATAAGAACACTACGGGGTAATTAGGAACATTCTCAATTACCCGCCGGACTCTGTTCCCAAATGCCCGAAGTACTATCGCATTTTTAGGAGTAAGTCTCTAAACATTACATAAATTAGATTAATCATTATAACATAAACAATCACTTCACAAATAAATAATGGCACCTACAACAATTAATTAATAAGACACACTAAAAACGTTAGAACTATAAATGCGAGTTATGCGATCACTATATTAAAATAACAATTGTCTTTTCATTTTGAGCAATATGGTTCACATTGAAATTGGTCAAAGAATCGTTTCTCCCGCTGAATAATGGTAATGTCGAGGCTTTCTATAAGAATGTTGTTGGGGAGGTCTGTATGTAGCATACTTGTGCATCTGTGATCGCGACAACGAATGAGAATGTGTTGCATAACAATGTAGAGTCAAAGGTGTGGGCGGTGGTCCCGCTGGACATTTAGTCAGGGGCGGCTTCCGAGGACCTGCGATTTTACGCCACAAGGCCTTTAGTCTTGGAGTGGCGATCCATACTGCTACCATCACTCCAAGTATTTGAGACGCGAATATTCGGAACAGGAACACCCAAAAAGCAGGACGGGGTTGCGTCGACGGTATCTCTGTGGGAACAGGCGCTGCTAGCCAATCCTCCCTCCACGCATACTCGTAGACCCAAGTGGCTAAGATGCAGGTGGAGGGCACAGCATAGAGTGCCGCAAATGCACCCAACCTAAGCAGGGTTTGATCCGTGATCTGCTGCGGTGGCGATGTCAGGAGCGCTGTCGGCGCTGGTACTGGCACTGGTCGCCGCAAAATCGCCCGAAGCCCCGTCGCGAGGAACACGGTGCCCAGCAGCAAGCATATTGCTTCAGGCACGATAACTAATGCCAGTAATGACTTGCTGGATTGATTGCCGACGAAGCACGTCCCTGAAAAGAAAGAAATATTCCTTATTTAGAACGATAAGTGAACTTGACAACGGGCTTGGCGGATACGAATTCTCTCTTTCCTTTTATCGCTTTGAATAACATTCCGATTTACACTAAAGCCACTTTCAAAGTGAACACCTACACAAATATACGGCGAGAAAAAAAGGTTTGCATTATTAATGCTGGTTTAAAAGGCCGATTTAAAATTGAAATATGAGCGTGCGAGTTGGAAAGGTGTCGTATTTAACGGCTCGAATGATGGTCGCGCATTTCTTTCTGCCGCCTTAATGGAATTGGAAATAATAAAAATAAAAGGCACAATACTCGTGGAATGATTGAAACTGCAGTATGCCTGAGAAACGTACCGAGCGGCTTTTCACTCACACTTTGATTGCAATAAAATAAAGAAGTTTATGAAAACAATGATGAAAAACGAAATTCATATATATCAAATTTTTCTTTATTATACTGTGGTATAGGTAGTAGGTGCATAGAGTTTCCAAATAACTTGTATAATATTTTGAGATATATGATACTTTTTGGGAACCTTTTTAAGGTTTTCGAGAAGAAACCTTTTTAAGGTTTTTTTGATAAACTATAGAAAATAAAATTTTCTCTATTTATATTTATATTTATCAGTGTCATGTCATAGTGTTTGACAGAATGATCATTAGATATTGAAATTATTAAAACATATAGCGGCTCAATGTGTGCGACCGCGCTTATAGAACAGGTTTCTCAATTGTTTTAAATACCAAGGTACATAAGTAGACTAGGGCATTTACAAAACGATCAGCCTGTTACTGTCGGTGACTGTTATCCTAGCTTAAATGATAATGATAAGAGTTTTAAATTAAGTTTCGTTCAAGTACTGCATTGTTATTTATAGAGTTAATGCTTATATAAATAGTTAGCTCACTATTTAATGTTTAAATATTTTTGTTTGTTAATTCAAGCCGACAACGTAGCGGTATATCAAAAAGAAGTAAGCGATAAGAATTTATTTTTTATCACAAGTTAGCACTGCTTAAGAAATAATTTTCAGTGTGTTTACTAAGCATCTTTTAAGATATATCTAGTTTAATTAAAGCCATTTTTAAGTCCTCATTTTATCAACAGAACAACGCTTGTTGCCGCCAGTACTCATACGAATGTATATGACACCATGCGTGAAGTGACTTTGTTTTATTTATACGGTGAAGTGATTAGCTAGAACGATTTTTGAAGTAGTTCTTATTTCATTGAAAAAAAAAGAAACGCATTTTTCTATTATTTATGATGCAACGGAGGCAGAACCTGACACCTATCTTCACAGTAGTGTTTTTAACTTATGTGAACGATTCAAAATTTACCGAATTTTCGATCGAGGACCAAAAAGAATAGACCCTCTGGTATCATGTTAATTCGTACGAATTAAACAATGAGTTTCCTATAACCATACGAAACACTCAACACTATTATCGTATGAATGCGTGCTCCTGCGCACTCATTCCAGATTTATTCACTTTGAAAAAGCCGCTGATTAAATAAATCGACGGGGGACTAAGTCGAATCAAAGAACCCATTGTACTTATTTGTAGATGTTCTTTAGAACTTTATTGATTGAATTAAATGTATTCAATATTATTGATGATACTTTACGAGTGCCTACATAGTTGATTGAAGCTTAGGTATAAAACCGGCATAGGTAATTATTAATATTATCGCGGTCAGTAATAATTCTTTTGTTATAATAATTTTGTTTGTTTGTAGTTATACTAATCGATATTTCAAAAACTTTGCGATTTAAATGAATAGCTAAGACTGAAAAAACTAATAATGTTAATCAAAAAAGTCCTAGTTTAAAAAAAAATGTTTACCTTCATACCAAATCGTTTATTGAATAGGTAGATAAATAGTTAATTTAATACTAATTAAAGTGTTATCCCAGTCATCTACTTCATATGGAGTTCGTACACAGCTATTTATCCATAAAAGAGCATGAGCGTCCCTTCAAAGCGTTACACCGTAAGTTGCTAGAATAAAGAAGTTGAGAGTATTGTGGTAGGTAGTTGTTTTAACCGACTGACGATGCAATGTGGTATAAGTATGATTGTCCTGTATCCAGAATTGGTTTTTGAGAATCCCTAAATCCCTAATCACTTTAAGGTATGAATGCCCAATGATGTTATCATCCACTTTCTAAAGTCGTTGAGCTGAAGTAATGTATGTAAGGTATGTTTCTGATAGTAGTCAGAACAGTAAGTATTTCCGTTAAAGTCAGTACCTTTAATGCCATATTAAGAAATTCATATTCAATGACAAGTTTAAAGTTCTATTAATTGTGCGGTGGATTTGCTGTTCGGTGAATATTCTCTGTGCTTTTAGCTCTTTCTATCGTTAATACCTTCTAATAATTTAATCTCCAACAGAAGCATATTAAAAATTTTGAAATTTGCCTTCTCTTTTGCTTTTGATATAATTATAGCCTTTATTATCCGCGTATGATGTAGCTATTCCTAGATTAAACAATTTTAAAATCGGTCCAGGAGTTTTAGAACCTTTTAAATGCAAACAATTATTAAAATATTTCGTCTTTATAATATTAGTATAGATTACGTTAATGTAATGTCACAAACCGGTAAGTTCGTCTGCATCCACGTCTCTGGTGACAAGAACAGCAGCTGCCAGTGCTGCTGGGACACCCCACGCCGCGAGTTGTAGCAGCGAGGAGTGACGGTCGTTACGTGTACCAGTGCCAGACGTCGTCACTGATGGACGCAGCACGCTCGCTCGCCAAGCACCTGCTACTACCACCCACCTGGAAACAAAATTATTTTTTGATAAGACACACCACAATTATAAATATAATGAAGTTGCGAACGAAATATAGGTAAAATATTTAAAGGTAAAATATAATATCGGACAAAATGCTAATTTTACATGAGAAAATACTTAGATTAAATTTATTTTTTCATCCTTTCAATCGTAAAGATTTCTTTTGGATAGTTTTTTTTTTAACATTGATTGTAACTGATTAGAAATATTTAAGAATGTATATCTTAATGCACAGAAATTATATCTAATGCACGTCGATGATACTTAATTTTATAAGGTAGACATACATTACATTTATAAGGTTTTATTACAATTTCGTAAAAAGGTCTGTCATGTGTCGATCATAGTACACCTATCATTTGCAGATTTTTTAAATTTCAAAAACATCTATCCAATTTAAAGTTAACTTTAGTTAACTTTTATAATTACTCTAATAGCTACTAGTTGACAGGCTTATTTATATTTATGTAATTCGCATGTCTCTATTTACGAAAAAGTGAAGATTTTAAAACAATTCATTCACACCGGACAAAAGTCAGAAACTACCTTAACATAATAAAGCCCTGTTTAAGATGCACAGAGAGAGTGAGTATAGTTTAATCCCACATAAATTACAACCTTTGACAACCCTTACTTAATTCGTTAAAATCTCTGACAGGTAAAGCCTTCCCACTACAACGAGAAAGGTGTCGCCTTGTTTTAAATATGACGCCGCCTGTTTCCTAAGACTCTCGAGATGTAGACCGAGCCAAGTGAGAAACCTGTAATACACAGGTCTAGGGGGGGAACATAGTATTGGCCAAAGGCGGTCGCGGTGGCGTGTCACTGGCACTTGAACAAACAAGGGCCCTGTACAAACAGAGCCCGAAAGTGGCGATACTCCAAACAGCGTTGTTTGCCAGCTACGGTCTAGTATTTGATACCGCCTCCGCTGGTAACACATGTTGGCTAACATTTCACTTATGTTTGTATGATTTGCATTGTGATAATTAGCTGGTATTCCTTTGAAGAACAAGCGGTACGGAACTTACTTTGTACTAGCAAATAATTATGTATCCAAATTATTGTTCTAAAATGACATTTATATAGGTATAAACTATCCATATAGCATGGCCAGTAATACCTATACTTGAATACGTCTTTTAAAACTGCTCTTTTTAACATTTTACGGAAGAAGTGTCAACAGTTAAAACGCTTTTAAGATGTTTTTATTTAATTTTATGTGGCGTCGATCCGGTCCGAATAGCCATTAAGCTATAATCTTATCTCGTGGCGAATGATTGGTTTCACGCCGTCAAATGTTTGTTGAAAAAATGAAAATTTACCGTTGATGATAACTCGTATATGGCATAGTGTAGGTCAATATGTAAAATAATATGATCGTGGTTTTATCTTTAAGAGTAGATTTAAGTAATCTATGTAACTAAATAGCCACCTCTCTGTCACATTAATGAAATAAAACCTTTTGAAGTAAGTTTTATTTAATTGAACCTCTGTGACGTGACAGCGTTGCGTTGGGTGTCGAGTTCAAAGTTGTTTTTAAAACAAAATAACGCCACAGCCTTACATAAAAATATATTTAATAAAATTTGAAGAATTAATAATAATATTAAGGTTTTTTCCGATTTTCTTTTAAATTCGAAAATAAAAAAGTTTTACCGACTACATTATTAAGTGTGTGACTATCGGGTTGGCACAAAAGTAATGAGACACTTGGTTTAAGTTTTTACTTTTTTATTATTATTACAATAAAAAAAGTTTAGTCAATTATGTAATTACCATTAGTATCTAAGACTTCTTGCCAACGATCCGGCAAAGTTTGGATGCCTTTTGCCCAGAACTCTGATGGCTGTGCCTCGAAAAAGTTGTTCAACTCCGCCTCTACGTCAGAGAAATCATTGAATTGTTTACCCCGCAAATGCTGTTTCAGGGCTCTAAACAAAGGATAGTCTGATGGGGCGAGGTCTGGGGAATAAGGTGGGTGGGGTATCGTCTCCCAGTCCAAGTTCTCCAACTGCCGGCGAACCACAGATGCGACGTGAGGTCGAGCGTGCAGTAAAACGACATTGACTCGTCTTCGTCGTTTTTTCTTGATAGCGGCAGATAATTTGGTAAGCTGGGTTGAATATTTGTCAGCGTTTATAGTTTCATTGTGTAATAGCTCATAAAACAGTATGCCTTGCGCATCCCAGAAACAGCAAAGCAGAATTTTTCGGCGGTTCTTTTGACTCGGCTTCGGTTGAGTTGGTGGCGTTTCTTCTCGAGGCAGCCAAAAAGCACGACGTGTATCGTTCTCGTAATAAATCCATGATTCATCTCCAGTAACCAGATCTGACAAAAACTCTTTACGTCGGGGTCGCAGCAAAAGTGACTGACAGATAGCGACACGGACTGCACGACTGGCGTCTGTAAGGATGTGCGGTACCCACCGAGCCAAAACTTTTCGATAACCAAGCTCATGCAGATGGTGTTCCACGGCGTGGTGACTGCATTTAAGTGCTTCCGCTAATTCACGAGTGGTAGCATCCGGATTCAACTGCAGTTCGCGGCGCAAATCGTCATCATTCACTGCGGGTGGTCGCCCTGAGCGTGGCTGACTTTCAAGGCTCCTGTCTCCTGATTTAAAACGGTCAAACCATCGGGACACCGTCGCATGGCTTGTACTTCCAGCGCCTAATGCATTGTTGATATTGTCAGCCGCAGCCCGCGCACTGTGGCCTAACAAGTACTCGTATAAGTATAGTGTTCAAACTTGTCGCTCGTCCATTTTTCTTCAAACTGACTAAACAAATCGCGAGCGCGGCTTTATATACCCTACACCAGAAGTACCTAGAATGTTCTACAACATTCTAGAATATTATCGAAAAAATTGATTTTAAAAAGGAAATGTTATAGATTTTTCTAGTGTGTCTCATTACTTTTGTGCCAACCCAATATATTATGTACATACGTACACATAATTATTATGTGTACATATCAAATATGAATATCGAAAATATATTATTCTATTCTTAATACAAAATGCTTAAAAACCCACTTGGTCCCTGGCACCCTGAGATGTGAATCGAACCCACGACCTTTCGCAATCCGGGCGACTGTTCTAACCACTGAGCTACCCAGGACCTAACAGGACTGACGAATCTTTGAAGCACTTGTTACTTTTCGCTACTACAGACCGTATTCTCATCAATTTATGAAAAAAGGCCATTCATTTTTCCCTCTTCTAGTCTAAATTAAAACCCAAAAAAAAAAAAAAAAACACAGGAAATAGTTCTGTACTTTTAGGTTACAGGAAAGCCTAGAAGAAGTCTGTGACTTTTAAAATTTAATGTATTTTCGGAACCAACCGCGCTCGAGTACTAAGCGGTTCATTTTTTAATCGTATAGTAATAATATTGAAATATATAGTCGGTTTTATTCTTTTGCCTATCACATCAATCAAAAGTGACTGCTAATTCGAGCGTAATTAATGCGATATTTGATATTTTTCCGCTGGCTGGTTTAGGAGGCCACACACATAGCACAGTGGAACTGTCGTAGTCTTATTTGAATGTGTCGGGCTGCTCGTAAACGTCATGTCCAAATGACAAATGCAGTTTCCATTTCGTCCAATCGAAGAGATTTTGCAGAATATCCTTAAGAGAATTTGCAGTAAACTTTCACATTTATAATATTAATTATTATAAATGTGAAAGTTTCTTTGTTTGGATGTTTAGATGTTTGGATCTTTGTCCGTCAATCACGCCGAAACTACTGAACGGATTTGATGAAATTTGGTATACAGATAGGGTATTCGCTGACTTAGATAATAGGATTTTTATCCTTTTTATATACTTTTTGTCCCACTAAACAAGCCGCTGGCGAAAGCTAATTTAAAATAAATTTATTGTATAGCAACCTATTTTATTAAACAAAATATTGCATCAACAATTATTTTTCAAACAAGAAAGATGGAATATATTAAATGTAAGGTCATCGACAAAAGAAAACAATTTAGTATCAGCTATTAGGTACTGTGAATTTGGCGTTCACATTTTCTAATTATTATCCGAAAAAATTTGCGGTAGCTCAATTGAAAATACACTACTCTTGATAGCGATGTGTCGTCGAATCGAGGTCAGTTACTAGGCTACTGTTTTAGTTAGTTTTTCTATCAAGTATTTTCAAGAAAAAGCTATTTAAAATAAAAGGTTTAAAATAAATTATTAATCTATCTTTTCCACGCATCTTTAACTAACGTCTGAGTTCCCAGTTAGGACTTGAAAATGACTGGAAGAATGACCACTTTTCTGAATGGTTTCGGGTTTATTAGTTATTTTCGTTTTTGCTTTAGCTGCACATCTATATTGTATATGATATTGTCTAATATTTATATTTATTTGTAGGGAGTCATAGTGATACTACCTAATACTAGCTGTCCTTAGCATGTGTGAATAAATTTATTTCTAATATTAGTGAAAATAAGCGTCATCATGATATATACAATATAGCATTATAAATTCAATGTTTTGCGTTTGATACTCGTTCTTATGAGACGCGATCCTTGAATTTCTTAGAATTGATTGTCAGTAAAGTGTATTTTAATCTACACATGCAACGAGCCTTCTTAGAAAAACTCTATTTGTAATTTTCATTTAATTTGTTTTTGTCAGCATAATTACTTTTTTATTATTATATAAATAAAGTAGGTATGTATAACATAAAGTTTGTCATAAACTTTTATGTATGCGTTTCTTATTTTTTCAATACAGACGGTACTGCCAAGATCTCGATTTGGATATGTTTAGAAATCACCTTTAGGTCACAGTCGTAATGCTGGTTTTGTCAATATCATAAGGGTTACAAAACTTTTTCCACCATTTAAAAAGCTTTTAATTCAGCAGTGATATTTATAAATTGACGATTTATCTTTTTTTTTTTTTAAAAACATTTGTATAGATTTTAAAAAGGGGAAAAGAATCGTTTTTGGTTTATTTGTAATCT